ACAAGCCCAACATCTCCCGCTGCTGGCTTCACATTAGCAGTGTTCAATGGGCAAAACATGGGGTGGCTTTTATTGTGACATAACCACAAACCACCAGAAACACTGTATGTTCATCACTGCGGCTACAGCTGACCACGATCGGTTATCAAAAAGCATCTATAAAAATGGAATAGTGGAAAATGACTTACTCCACGTACAGCATGAAATCAGATTGGTTTTCATGTATGATGGAAAAAGGTCAATTATTGACTGACTTCTTTTATTATTACAACATGAGATTGTTTGGCTTTATTGTAAACGGTTAAACCTGTTGTTCCTGTGTTGAATGTCTGACAAAGTAGCAGCTCAGGGAGTGTTTACTGCATTTATAATTTAGGGACCTAGTTTTAAACTGCAATTGTTGTTACCACAGTAACACTGGCTGTTGCCAGAGTCAACTAGGAGTGAAATTTTAAGAATTACAACCATAAATTATTGCCAGATAAATTTAATTGTACAAGAAAAAAATGGCTATTTTGTTAAAGCAATCTCCAGTCAGTGATTTATGCAAGAGGTTGCAAATAGACATACAGTAGCTTCATTTGAAGAGGTCACAAGTGAAAAAAGTGGAGAATCACTGCCAAACACAACAGTGCATCACAGCTGTCCTTTGGTCCCTGGTCACACTGTCGCTTCTCTCAGGCCTCTAATGACAGAGTCCAGGATTTAATTTTAGCTCAGCTCAACCTTCCATCTTACCACAAGATTTGTGTTTCCTTCAAAACACTTCATTTCACTGAACCAATATGTCGCTAGCTTTAGCTCAGATAAAAACACTGTGCTTAGTTTAAACAGACACTCAGGCACATACAGTACAGCTACAAAAAGCCAATGAAAGGCCGGCTGCCACAGAACACTGGCATTTTTACCCTGAAATCATCCAGGATGTGAGTATGTTCGACTTCCACTATTCAAGCGGACTCTTTTCCAAGCTAACTGTGCCATTTGAGAAGGGATGGAAATCCCTCTTTACCAGGCTTTACTACCTATTTACAACCTGCTCTGTGTCACCACCCAAATAATATCTGACATAATAATACTGCTACTGCTGCTGCTCTTACAGTGGCAATGACTCTGCTACCTGGGGAATGGCTATAATGGCAGTGGATTTCATTTTTGAGCGCTACAGTGTCACTTTCGCTCATCACTGGTAGTGTGGCCAAAAAACAGCAAATCGAACAAATAAATGAAAGCCAGACAGAAATCTCTTTAGGAAAAAAATGCCCACTTTGGTGGAAGAAAAACACCAATTGAAAACTGCTGAATTTCCTGCAGCAGGATATCAGTTTCAGAGCATATCAGATTTCTTTTTTTTTTTTTTATATCAAAGCCTGCATAAACACAGTTGAATAAGCTGCTGTGTACACAATTCAAGGTAGACGGATGGGATGGCACATTTCAGTTCTATCCCTGAATGCCTTAATAGTGTTCTGTGGAAAACTGCAGGTAGAAACAGTTGAGTGAAGCCCTTAAGGCCCTCAGAGAGGAAGAGATCAAGGGCAGGCGGTATAGGGAGTGGGTTCAGCTGTCACCAATGAAATATTGATCATTAAGTCCTTCTCCCCCTTGTCGTTCTACCTTTCCATGCCTCTTTAATGTCCTTCAGCTTCACCTTTTATTTCCCTCAACATGTTCCTTTTCCTCTTTCTCACCTTCATGTGTCCACCGGATCAGACTGTGTTTCAACAAGAAGTCCAGCTGGGGAATTTAAATACATTCAGTATAGAAATTCAACCCTTTAATAGTTGTAATCCTTAACATTTCCCAGTCGATTTGCCGACTCCTGTTGTTACAGCTAGAATCAGCAACTGTGATTTAGTACTATAATAACCACTCACTGAGCAGCTGCTTTTTCAGAAATAAAAGAGAAGTGCAACTTGAGGATCTGTTTACAGTCCCGCTAAACAAATCTTGTTATTCTAATAGTCACTTGTTATTGTAACTGTGCTCTGATTTCATGCTGTGCACAGCAAGTTTTCCACACAGCAGCAGAGCACAGTAGAGTTGGTTACCTCGCTGAGAAGTCAGAGGTGTGCAGCTGTTTGAGAGTTCACTGTGGCTTCTCCCTCATGTTCCATTGTTCCCTTGCAAAAACTAAAAAGGAAGCACTGATGAAAAGATGTCAAAAAGACTGAGTATGTCTTATTTTGTAGGAAATTGTCTTGTTTATTAGGAGATGCTGGGATTGCATTAGCAGTAACACAGCTCTGATATGGTGTAAAAAGAGTGAGGCTGATATCGATGAGACTAAATTAAAAAAGTTGGCTCTGGATCATAACGTATGTATGTCTCGTTTCCAGTGAGGGCAGTTTTAATCCAGCGCAGGAATGGATGACTCCATCAGGTAATTACAGGTTGAAAATACACTGAATGGCTGTTGCTGAAAAATGCAGGCCATAAATACGTAGTTTTAAAACTGGTGTGCTCTCATTAAAGTCCTAATGATTATAACTTTAAATCAGTTCAGTAGGCGAGTACCTTTTTAAAAGTAGCTTGTTATAGAGATGAGATAAGGTGATCAAACAACTACAGAGGTACTACCTTTGCTGGAAGGATTAGGAATATGTAGAAAAGCTGGTGTCACTTCAGATGGTTTGAATGTAGTGTACATTTTTTCCCCTCTTTGCCGTGTTGGCACAACTTTATTGTTTGCTCAGTACATGAACCTTCCTTCTGTTTTTTGCACAAAGGATCAAAGAACTGTTGGCCTTGGAGTGTGCATTCTTCATATCTGTGACCAAGTGTTTTGCGCCCCTACTCATCCCTCCTCCCACAGCCCCCTTTTGAGGATGAAGCAGAAATAATTGAAAAGGGGATAACAGTGCAAAAATGGCACTGTGTTTAAGTGGAACCCTCCAGTCAGCTTAGGTAGGATGGAGAGATGAGGGGAAAGGAGATGATTAAATAGAAGGAAAGAATGATGGAAGGCTGGACAAGTACGAATTTAGGGAAGAATAGAGCTCTGAGTCCTGCCTTCACCTTCCCTCGAACCTTGTCCTTCCACATTCGGGGCCCTCTGTTCAATGAGCCTTGTGGCTCTTTCCAGCGCGAGTCACCCAATCACAACAATCCATCATTGATCCAACAGAGGGACTCCTCTTACCACTTAAAGGCACTCTGTGTATGTGTGCAGCTCCAATGATGTTATAGCATCTGGCCAGATCCAGACATGCCCCAGAGTTCCACTGGCTGACGTTCATCATTATATGTAGCTTTGTCGTAATGGCCACACACTGACATTGTACAGTTTGTCCTTGCACACAGGAGTATGATGGTAGGGATCAATGTAATGGTGTTCAGTAGAGGCTTTCACACGCCTGGAGCTTTCAGGCAGTAAGATATGGGAATTTATTTTTCCTGGTTAGTAATTTTTAAGAAAAATTGTAGGTTTATGCTATAATGATACTGTCTTATTGTAAAATGGCAATTTAAGCATGGGGCTGGAAACTCCTATTGTCGATCTTAGAAAGACCTCAGTGCAGTTGAATCGATGTAAATATCCTGTTATTTTGGCAAGACAACTGCAGGCAGGTGGACAAAAGCAATGGCGTCCCCACGTGAAACTGCTTAGCGTTAGATAAATCTTTTATGTCCATCATCATTATCATAATGACACCCTCCATCACTTTTGTATTACACATTCCTGCCATCACTATCAATTATCCTCACAACCGCAAAACACCAGGACAGTGCTCGTACACATCTCTCACTGGGGTGTATCCTGAAAAAGACTGAGGTCTAACTGTATGTGTTGGTGGCAGGGGATGTAAAGCACGGCAACAAAAAGCAAAAACACAAAAGAAAAATCAATGCCTTAACTAAAGGAGCAATTGAATTATTGATGAGGAGTATGTTATGGGATCCTATGTGTCTAGTTCTCCCCCGTCTTGAAGTGTTTGCTGCTCAGGCAGCCACAGTCATAGCCACAGAAGTAAAAATGATGATGGTGCTAGAAACCATGCAGTAACATGTCCTCAGGCAGATGAGCCAACCTGAATGAGCCGGTGCAGTGTGGCAATCACTATAGCTCTTGTGTTCACACACACTTACAGTCAGAGTTCATTTCCTTGGACACTTAATGCGCCTAGATGCTGCTGCTAGGCCTGCCACGTTTTTTTCCAAAAATCAAGTTTGGATGAATGCGGTGTCTCTGCTGCCTCACTTGACTGACAGGCTAACACTACTGTAGGCAGCTGCATTTCACAAGCTCGGATAAGAGTTACTGTTTACCCAAAAACTGTCCATCTGTGGTGTCAAATCTAAAATACATTGTCACGTTGCGACTTTGATGTTTTGGTGTTGTAATTCTGTCCCAGATGTTTTAGTATTGTCATGTTCTGTTTATCACAGCTTGCTTGTTTGCGTTAGCAAAGACAACATCAGAGTGACTGCGTTTTAGCAAAGTCTCCTGCTGGAGCACAAGACACCACCTGTTGTGCTGTCAAATGAATAGAGTATTTGATTTTTTCCCCTCCCTCCCTCCTTTGAAGCATTGAGTTTTTCACTAAAAATTAACTATGAAAGTAAAGGGAATACTTTTTTTTTGGTTGTTTTTGGTCCCACTAACAGAACCGTAACACTTATCAGTTTCCAGTTAGGTGTGAAAAACACAATCTGCTCATTTGGGGAGAGGGCTCAAGAGATGTTTGCCATTTTGCTGGGTAAAGCACTTCAGTTAGTAACTGATTAATTTTCTATTTCAGCCCCACTTGCTTGTACAGCAATATTCACAAATGCTTTTTAATATTAGATCTAGAACTTAATCTTTAATTATGGACAGAAAATTCTAGGACCCTTAAGTTTATTACAGTATCTTGTTGAAAATCAATTATAGTAGGTTAAAAAAAATGCATAGTAGCTAAATGGGAGCTAAAATTCTTAATTTCTCCAAAACATACAGTATACATACACAGCCACAGGTAAAGGCAGTTTAATTCACACATAAATCCTTATTTCCTCTTATCCCCTTGAGGTGGAGAAATCAGAAGATGGGTTGTTTACCCGCATCACCAATGTGCTGTTTGTTTTATTGCAAGTGGAGAAGGCAGGCATCACTTTTGCTTGGCTGGAGAAGAGGCAGAATTGAGGAATGCGAATGAGAGGTAGTGAGAGAGCAGCCAGGTGAGACCTGAAAGCTTCCTTTGTGTGGCAGCTGGCAGTAAGAACACTGCCTTTTTCTGTGAGGTGTTCTCCACACACACATACTCCAAGTCCACTGTACATGTAGGGCTGTTATGGGGGGACGTTTGGCAAGAATGTGAGGCTAAAAAACCGTTGCAAGTTTGCAAATGTAATTAAAAAAGAAAAAGCTTGTTTGTTTCATTTGAGGTGAATGGATGTGTTTTCTTCCTGCGATTCCAAATATCCATTTTAGATGCTAAATGCTCTCTTATTTTCTCCTCCGCTGCATCTCAACTGTATCTGGCTCAGTTCAACTGGAGCTTAAAGAGCATGATGATATCTAGTCCCGTCTGCTGCTTCAGGTTCAGCATGCTATCGCAAAAGACTATTCCAGGAGTCGGTGCACATCACAGCTCATATGAGCCAGTAAATATGCATCTTCTTCATGGGAATGTGGCAGTCCGAGAAAGTCAGAGCTAGACGGGGAGTGGACACTGCGAAGAAATGGTTTTGTTATGTGACTAGAATGCGTTTTTGAGCATGGACCGAGTCGTACTTTTCCCAGTTTTCTCTTTGAGCTTGAGCTGAAAGAGGTTTTGACAGTTTAAATTCCTCTGCTGCCTGTGAAACATTACCCAGCTGTGATACTTTATTGCTATTTGATTATATGTGTGTTTGTGTGTATTAAATTTGATTGGAGTTGCAGATTACATACATTTTTCCAAAATGAAAAGCGACCCAAATGAAAGCTTAAACCCACTGAGCTATCAAAAATGGTAGTTATAGTATCTCTTGAGACAGAAGTTTCACAGCTGCTGGTTGTGGAGCAGCAACTCTGTGTGCTGATCTGTATTCTTGTTTGTTTGCTTCTCCCCAGGAGGGCCCCTGCAGACAGCAGTCGTGCCAGGCACCATGAGGCAGCAAGCTTGGCCAGAGAGAGCAGAGAAATCACCCTTCATCACTCTCAACCAGGCTGGGCAACGGAAGAAATGCGCACAGCAGCAGAGGCAGCAGTACACATCACAGCAGTGACGGGCTAATACACACAACTGAGAGCAAATGGGGAAGGCAGAAAGAGACTGAGAGAGGGCAGTCGGTATCTCGCACTGCTTCATACTAACTGGCAAAGTGGACTGGGCCACACTCGGAGGCAGAGATGTCCTTTTCAACACATTGTCCTCTGTTAGAAGCCCCTTGTTAGAAGTCAAAAGGCAGTCCGCTGCCCCTGTGAGGCTACATTGCTGAGGGGCAGGGGAAAGGAAAACGAGGACGAGAGAGAGACAGAACCAAAAAAAGAGACTGTGACAGGCCCCCATGCAGGCGCGTAAGAAGTATGTTCTGCTGGGCTTGTGTGCGTGCTGCTGGCTGGTCCTCTTTTACTGGGGAGGAGCAGTCCAGTTACGTCTGCTTCGGCTGTTGACGCGCCAGCGGGGCGAGGTGGTGCGCCCCTGGCCCAACTGGACCGACCGGGCCTTCCTGCCTCACTATGCCCACCTGGATGAGCTCCAGACAGACCCTGGGACGGCTGAGTTGCCCCGCCAGCGGCGACAGGCGTGGTCTGCCATTTATAAGGACAGCCGCTGCCGCATGGAGACCTGCTTTGACTTCTCTCGGTGTCGCCGCCGAGGAAGGGAAGGCTTCAGGGTGTATATATATCCATCAGAGAAAAATGATCGTGTGTCAGAAAGCTACAGGAAGATCCTGACATCTATAGGCGAGTCACGGTACTACACATCTGACCCCCGTGAAGCATGTCTGTTTGTGCTCGGGATAGACACCTTAGACAGAGACCAGCTATCAGGACAGTTTGTGCCCAATGTAGATGAACGTATCCGTGGTTACCCATTGTGGAATGATGGGAGGAACCATCTGATCTTCAACCTGTACTCAGGCACCTGGCCTAACTACACAGAGGACCTGGGCTTTAACATTGGCCAGGCCATCTTAGCCAAAGCCAGCCTCAACACAGAACATTTCAGGCCAGGCTTTGATGTCTCCATTCCCCTGTTCTCCAAGGATCACCCCCAGAAGGGAGGAGAGCGGGGCTGGCTGGTGAGGAACACCATCCCACCACGAAGGAAGTACCTGATGATGTTCAAAGGGAAGCGTTATCTGACAGGCATCGGGTCAGACACCAGAAACGCGCTCCATCACATACACAACGGGAAGGACATTGTGTCACTGACGACATGCCGCCATGGGAAGGACTGGGAGAAGCACAAAGATTCCCGCTGTGACCACGACAACCTGGAATATGAGAGGTAGGACAGGTCACATGGCCACTGGAGTGGGCAGCAGTGAGGTGATGTTGAAATGAGAAGAGAGGTGTGAGTCAGTTTGGGAAACAAAGAATGAAGTGTTATGTTTTTATTGGGATTTTTTAGGGGTAGTGTTACATTTGCCTTCTTATTTGAACTTGCAGTTTTGTGGTCTTTCAGATGTCACTGATTCTCTACAAGCAGTGTCAGAAGTGGCTTTTGTGTCCCACTGGTTATTTTTGTTTCTTTTATGGCTGTACAGCAGTTGCTTTCCAGACCAAAGATTCTATACACAGACTTGAGTCGCTGGAGGTTTAGATTAGGTCAGTATTTATAGCAGTTCTCTTATTCTTGTGGTTGTAATGTGCTGAACAGACCTTGAGCTTGTTATTGATCAATAAATCTTATACTGTGATAGACAAACTAATGAGAGTAGTCAACAAAACAGGCAGTGCAAACAGTGGCTAAAGCTGATTGGTTTATTACAGCTGAAACCACGGTATGTAGTAATCAAACTCTTCATTTTTAATGAAGGTTTTCATGCTTTTGTTGCTGCTGCATGAGGAATTTGCTTGTCATTTCCACTTTAGTTGAAAATATATTTATTTATTTATATTTTTACTACTGGGTGAAGTGTTGGCTTGGTGTTTCTCTGCCCTAACAGACACTGAAATGTTCCTCCTCTGTTGGACTGACTGAACTTTTATTGCTTAAGAGAAGCCAGCTGCTAAACTCCAAACCCTTGGAAGTTGTTTTCAGGTGCTATCCAGTGAACTCCCAAAGCAAGGATTTTGAAAGTATACAATATACAATTTGACTTTTCAAATATCAAATGCCCTGTGATCAGCAGCGAGGCAGTGGTTCTGATCCAAGCACACTCCTACTGTAGCTGCTGTGGCCTAGAAGTAGCTACCTCAGGCTTGTTTACACTGGAGCTACTCCACACTATGCTGTATGAAAGAGCTTATTTATTCCACACAGCTCGCTACTCAGATGCCCGGGTGGATTGGGGGT